CCCGGGGGGCTGCGGGCTGGGGAGCCCTTGACGCCCCCATGGGGCTGCCCCCTGGCTCTGGGGTGTCTGCTCGTGTGAGGGGTCCCGGGATCCCCAGGCTTGGATTCAGGGGCCCCTTCCCCATCCCCTGGCCTTACCCCGCCTCCTTTCCTGGGCCTTCAAGCCCTGAAGGGGCTTTGATGGAGTTGCTAAATTCACTTTATGTTCCTGTTCTGGCCTCAGACCCCCCTGGGAAAGGTGGGGGAGGCAGAAGAAGCTGGGCTAGGGTAATGGGACAGCCTATGCCACCTCATGCATGTGATCGGGATGCTTGTTTTCTCTCAGAGCTATATCCCCCCCCCCCCCCCCCCCCAACATGGTGCTGAGGTGGGTGCTCAATGTGTGGGGGTGTCCTGGCAGCGTGCCTGGAGCCACTTGCGCTACCAAACATCCTCCTGAATTAGAGGTTAAATATGGGATACTAAGGTGTCTACTTCTGGCCCCCCCTAACAACCCCTCCCCCCCAGTAATGCTGGCAGGTCAGTGCAAAGCCAGCTGAGTTAGCAAGAGGGATGGATTCATCAAAGGGAGGAAAAATAATTTTTCAAAGCTTGTTTTGTTTCCTGGTCTCTTTTCTTGAACATCACCTTTGAAAATGATGGCAAGTGAAGCCTAGCCTGCTCTTTCCCAGCAGACCTTGACTGGTAAAACAGAGTGGGTGGCCATGCTTGTACCCAGCTCCTGCATGGTGACAGCCCTTCGTCTGTCAGCCAAGTAACACCAGCTCCATGAGCAGCAGAAGGCTTCAGCCACCTTGTAGCCAACAGATGGTGCACGTAGGTGCATCCAGGCTTTCTGTTGGCTGCTCCAGCCCTGCGAATGCATGCCCTGCCAGCACAGCTGCCATAGTGGAGCTGTGCAAAGCCATGCAGGTGTGTATGTGCTTTAGCCACTCTTTTTTGGTGGCTCAAGTATGCTGGCAGAGAACTAGTAATGGAGAGGAGGTCCTGGGATGCTTGCTTTGCGATTGTCTTTTGGTTAGTCCAAGACTGGGAGCCAGGACTCTGGGTGATGTTATCACTATCAGCCTTCACAGGTTCTGTGTGTAATTGTAAATGAGTTGCTTTTGAATTTTCCAGTTTACCCATTGGATACATGGGAAGGAACAATTAGGCAGCCCCCAGGGTATCCTCATGGGGTGACTTGTGGTTTCTGTAGAATGCTTTGAAATCTTTGGATAAAGTTTCTACCTGAAAGTAGGGTATAGCTCTTTTTGTTTCAAAATGATTTTTCTGTAAATTGTCTGGGCTTCAACAGTGATTTCCCCAGCTAGACACTCACTAGTCTGCTGTGTTTGGTCAGAATTAACTGGATCCATGTGCTCTGAGTTTCTTACAGGCCCTGTTCTTCAGTAAGTTTGATAGGCTGCTCACTCAGGATGCAGACCCTTATTTACTGCCCTTTTCTGAGACAGAAAACCACATTCCAACTTGTTAGGCCCCCTAGACCACTGCTGACACCATTACCCTATAATTTAGGTACATGTCACCCAGAACACTAGCTAGGTGAGTGCCCTCTGGTTTATAGTTTCTGGAGGTGCACCAGTACATCAGTCCATATTGTATCAGCACCGATAAAAGGAAAATTGACATTATTGGCAATCAGCTTTTTTTGGCTGATGTGGCCGATAATGTAGTCGATTAAATGCCGCGTGCATGTGTGCAGCCAGCCCAGCAGCTTGGAGAGCAGTATCGGACTGGTAAGTCTGTTGGGGGTATGGGTGGGGGGGCAGACCAAGGCCCCTGCAGTGAGGGAAGGAGTGGAGCTGGGGCTGGGGCAGGTGCTGGGCAGAGCTGCAAGCAGTTCATCTGGGGAGCGGGGAAGGGAGGCAGGTGCAGGGATGGGGAGATAGCTCCTGCTGTTGCAAACAACCCTGAGAAAGGCATCTGTGGGGGCATGTGCCCCCTGGATCTGTACACAGGGCAAGGGTGGGCTCACTCAATTTGCTTGGGGTTGTAAAGGGCACTGGCTTTTTCCCAGCTTGAGGAGACTGGGCTGGGGCTGCGCTCAGAGCAGGCAGTGGTAGCGCTGGGTGGGGGGCTACAACAAATTCTGAGGTGGCCATAGCCCACCCTGTAGCCCTCTACCCCCACCCCAGCATCACCGCTGCTGGTTGGCCCAAGTACAGCGCTGGCCCAGCTCCTCTGCTGCCAGGAAGAGCTTGGTGCTGTCCCCAAGCTCCAACCCGCAGCAGCAGCCTGCCCTCACCCTGTGCACAGATCTGGGGGAACATGCTCCCCTGGGGGTGCGCATAACTGAATTCTCTGCCCCCACCCCTCCAAACAAGCCACTTGCAGCTCCATCCCACGCTTTACCCCATCTGTGCAGTGCCTGCCCCAGCCACAGCCCCACTCCCTCATTGCAGGGGCCTCGATCTGCATCTCCTAGCTCTGCCCCTTTCCTTCCCCGCCCAACAGACTTAGCAGCCAGATGCTGCTCTCCAAGCTGCCGAGCTGCATATCAGCAATGGGATGGGTATTGGCCGATATGGCTCGTTAATAATCGGCCATCAGTATCGACCCAAAAGATCTTTATCAGTGCACCCCTAACAGTTTCCGTGTGCAAGGGTATGTGTTTAGTGAGACAAAAAGATGGACTTTGACTGAATTTTAGAAACATATAGCTCTTTATTAAGACAACATAAAAAATGCATGATGCTAGATAATAGTAAATCTCGTATTGGTTTTTCTACCTCAGCTGTCTCACCACTTTAGAGATTTGGGACATTCAGGGTTTGGAGCTGGCCCAAAAGGGGGTTTCTCCTTCATAGGAAATCTTGAAATTTGATTTTGATTCAGATGAGATTGAAGCCAAACTGTCCAGAATTTCCAGCAAATCTAAAGCTGCCCAGACTCTACAGCTACTTCTTGGAGTTGTCATTCTTGTTAATTTTTCTGTTAACGCCAGCAGTGAAATGGATGTTCTTTCAATTTCACTGATTTGCTGCAGGGGCTCCAGGGATTACAGCTTTGGAGCAGACTAGTTAACAGACTAGTGTGGAGTTGCACCCCATGAATCTTCCAGGGTCACCAGCTGGGAGCAGAACTGACAAGAATCCAGGCAGGGTTTCCTTGGTGTTAGGCCTTGGATTTGACAAAAGTTAATCTCATTCGAGACGTTTTAGACTCAGTGAACCACTGTTTTTGTAAAGCTCTTCATTTTGTTGGAGAATTCCCAGTTAGCTCCATCCAGAGTCCTTCCCTGCTGGCTGTGGCTTGTCTTCTCAGTTGGGGAGCCCCTCTCTATCTTTGCTCCATGCTAGTTTCTTTTGACTTGTTGAAAAGGCCACTACCTTCCCCTGGCTGTCAGCAAAGATGCCCACCCCTTCTCCTAGATTTTGGCTTCGATAGGGATGATCCTGCTTCCAACAGGGAGTTGGATTAGATGACCCCTGGAGGTCCCTTCCAGCCATATTTCTCTGATTCACCTTCTGTTATTGTGTAACCTTTTGTTACTCCTTTGAGTCCTTTTTAACCCCTTGCTTTCTCTTTTTTGTCCTGTTTGGGACTTTCTATTTTAACACC